CTGTGTCCTTCATTCATTTTGTGAAACTTCCAAGTGTCCCCTGATTGGTACACTAGACTATAAATGTAAAGATGTACATGCTCTTTACTTGACAGGGTGTAAATGTATATAAGTCCTGGCTATAGATGTTTTTGGTATGGTTATGTTATTCAAGTTGTCTCATCGGTTTCTAGCAGACAGGTGTCTTTTCGATTGCACTTCCATGGACGGGGCTGCTGTTATTTGCCACACTAAGAGAACAAAATGAAGAGAAGTTTGTAAAGTCTGTACAGACCATAATAGCATTCCTGTAGACGCTGCAGGTATTGTGTTGTCCATTAGCTTCCTTGCAGGTTGAGCCAAGAATCTGAAAACTCTTGTGCCTTTTATTCTTTTAAACTAGTTTTTAGCTCACTTGAACCTGGAGACGTGAACACTGAATGTGAAATGAAACTTGGAAATTCTTTCTGAGCTTAACTTCAAAGAGCTGCAACCTGTGCATGACATTTTTAAAAAGGGGAAATGATCTAAAAGAACTTTTTTAAAAGATGCATAGCCTTAAGAATACTCGAATAGCACCACTTTGGAGGGACGGGCAAAGCACAAATGTGTCATGGCTGGGGTGGAGTGGGGATGTTGCAGCGGATTCTGAGACAACCACAGAACGGTCCTATGAAGAAGAATGTTTTTAAGGGGTCATGGAATGTCCATTAGTGTTCCCAGTGCTCCAGTTCTTAAGTCAGCTAACTGATTTCTGTGACACAGCAGATGATTGCAGAAGAACTGCTGAGCCCCGAGTTAATTAGGTTTCTGAAACCTTCTTTGTTCATCTTTTTAGATCAGAATCCTTTTTTTCAGTAACAGTTGCCTTAAATTTGTAACATATGCAAAAAGTTTAGGGGCAATAGTCACTCATTTATGTATAAGCACAAGTGTCCATTGTGTGTGTGTGTGTGTGTGTGTGTGTGTGTGTGTGTGTGTGAAGTGCTGTCAAGTCGTGGCCCATTGTGGTCATATAAGACTGTCATGTATCTAAAGTGAGTCATATTCTGATTTAACCTTGTATGATAATCAGTTAGGGTTGAGAATCAGTTATGGTCTTTTGATGAAGAAACGCACAACAGCGTGAAGGTCAAGACGTGTTTCTTTTGTAACCGTCATGGAGTGAAGTGACTGGGCAGTTTGGTGGTTGCTAAGGGCATGGGAACCTCTGTTAAGAGGAAATGGCAACCACAGAGAAGACCAGGAGGAAACTGTAACCTGTTCTGCAGCTTAGTGTTGTTGGATAATGGTGGTTTAAAACTGGTTTTCATACTTTATTCTGAGGAGGTTCATGGGAAGCATGTCAGTGGTTCTGGATTAGCAATTGCTAACATGGGTTCCAGAAAAACATTCTGCTCTAAAGTACAGCCATAGAAGAATGCCAGGTGACTTATAGGGTACATTCTTGGTCTAGGCAGGGTGGTGCTGAGATCCAGCAACTTGGCCAGTGCCTCCACATGAGCTGAGTACATGTCATCCCACATGCCTCAGAATGACTTAGAGAATGCTAAAGTTGAGGAGCAAGGGTTCATGACCCCCTCGGTAGACGAGTTGACATAGAACATATTCCTTGAAAGCAACATATTTGCAATTCCTTGCCTTCTTAGGGAAAGGTCTTTTGTTGCTAAAACCTTGCCCATATTCTGAAGTTAGAATCATAGAGGCCATCTAGTCCAACCTCCTGCTCAATGCAGGATCAGCCTAGAACATCCCTGACAAGTGTTTGTCTAGCCGCTGCTTAAAGGGGGAGCTCACCACCTCCCTAGGCAGCTGATTCCACTGTTGAACAACTCTTACCATAAAAAAGTTTTCCCTAATATCCAGCCAGTACCTTCCTACCCTTAATTTAAACCCATTATTGTAAGTCCTTTCCTCTGCTGCTAACAGGAACGGCTCCCTGCCCTCCTCTAAATGACAGCCTTTCGAATACTTAAAGAGAGCAATCATGTCCCCCCTCAGCTTCCTCTTCTCCAGACTAAACATTCCCAAGTCCCTCAGCCTTTCCTCACAGGGCTTGATCTCCAGGCCCCCGATCATCCTCGTCACTCTCCTCGGCACCCACTCCATTCTGTCCACATCCTTTTGGAAGTGAAGCCTCCAGAACTGCACACAATGCGCCAAGAGTGGCCTGACCAATGCAATGTACAGAAACAAAACAAAACAAAAACAAGAGTTTGCTTGATGCCTTGCAGAGAAGGGGTAGACAAATGGTGCTGGGTCTATAGATGCTACATTAGTGTATCAAACACTCCAAAAACAGCTGTACGTTCCTAGCACATAACTAGAAACTTACTCTTAGAAAAAGCAGTAGAAGCTGAAACATTAGCAAGCTGTCCTCTGAGCCTTACTGCAGATCCACAGGTAATTAGCTGAACTTTAGTGCAGATGTTGTGTGTGTCCGTCCATTGTTATATGACAAATGCCAGTATTTTGGCTAGAATAATTGTATAGTCCATTTGGTATAGTCCAATCTTGTCAGATCTCGGAAGCTAAGCAGGACAGAATTTAGAAGGGAGACCACCAAGGAAGACTCTGCAAAGGAAGGCAATGGCAAACCACCTCTGCTTCTCACGTGCCTTGAACAACTCTTGCTGGGGTCGCCATAAGTCACCTGCGACTTGAAGGCACTTTACTAGTACACACATAGAGTATATGGATAGTGCATATGGGCTGCATTCTCACAGGAAGCTGAGAGGAAACTTGGATTGGGCACAAACCCAATTGGGTGCTGTGCTCATCAGGCCCCTCCCTCCCATCTCCCTCCTCCTTCGACGTGTGTTGCTTGAGGCAAAACTGCCCCCTTTGATCAAGCTGGGAAATGCTTGATGAAGTTCTGAATGTTAGAAGAGGAGGCAGGTGGACAGAGCACGGGGTGCGGATGAGCATCTCAGCAAACTTTTTAAGGGGGATTTTGACTGCAGCTTCTTGTGAAGTTTGAATACAGCCACCATCTGCCCACTGAATTTAACCCCCTTTTTTCTTCCTTAGGTGGGCTTGGAAGAGCAGGAATCTCTGTTGGGTTTAGCAAAATTTCTTGCTTTTTTTTTTCTTCTTGCAAACAAAGCATCTGCTACTAAATAGAAATGAATCTGATGTGAACACAGAAACGTTTTCTTTGATTTACTAATTGAGCTGTTTCCCCAGCATTTCCCCCCCTGTTTATTTTCTTGGTGATTCTTTAGAAAGCGCCAAGATTAGCTCAAGAGCTGCAGCTCAGTTTCCTTGTGGAAAGGAAGCTGCAAAACTGTTGTTATGGATTCAGCCCAGGGTCATGCCACAGAACTGGGACTGAAGGCAAAGTGCTGCGGCTTTTGAAAAGCACACAACAAGTTTGCAACTTCCGTAACCCTGACCCCCTTCCTCTCCCCCCTCCCTATTCCCCCGCAACTTTTCTTCTGGAAAATGGTGACGTGATACAAACAGGAATGTTTGTGCCAATTGTTTTGAAAAAAAAATCTATGAGCAGTCCCCGTCTCTGGAAAAGCAAGGAAGCTCTGTAAACAATGTGTGTTATTTTTATTATAAGGAAATAGTTCATGTAACTTAATAGTTTTGTAAATGGGAGAGGGGAATCTATAAACATATAAATACAGGTTTATTTTATTTTTTGTACATTTTTAAGAAGGAAATAAATAAATGTTCATAAGATATAACTGCCTCTGTTTCTGCTGCTGATATTCAACAGATTAGTGGACTCTGCATTGAATCTTCAGGGCACTCACATGTGCTTGAATAGGCTTACCTTCTGGGGGACTATTTGCTATCTCGAAGTACTTGCCACCTGGTCCTTTGTCAGGAAATTGAAACCTGCCTCCTGCAAAGGGTAATGGGCACTCTCAGTGAATCACCAGCTTGCCTGCTTCTAGTTTGCTGTATTTTTTGCCTCTGAAGCAAACAGCCAGAATCATACACACACACTTCTCTGAGTTAGGGAACTAGAGCCTGGGGGGGAAAGGTCCATTCTACAATCTGTTTCCAGAAGCAAAAGCTTCTGTTATTTTATGCCTTCAGCACTCCCTCCCTTTTAGTGAAATGGTTGGTTTGCATAATTTAGCAGGGATGAGGCCATTGGCTCAGGAATAGAACACCTGCTTGGCATGCAGAAGTTGCTGGGTTCAGTTTCCAGCATCTCCAGGCAAAAGGATCGGGTAGTGGGTGATGTGAAAGGAGCCCTCCCACAAACACACATACAAACATACGTAAGACCCTGGAGAGCTGCTGCCAGCGTGGTGTAGTGGTTAAGAGCGGCGGACTCTAATCTGGAGAACCGGGTTTGATTCTTCACTCTTCCACACAAAGCCAGCTGGGTAACCTTGGGTCAGTCATAGTTCTCTCAGAATTCTCTCAGCCCCACCTCACAGGGTGTCTGTTGTGGGGAGAGGAAGGGAAGGGGATTGTAGGCTACTCAGAAGCTCCTTCAGTGGGTAGTGAAGAGCAGGGTATAAAACCAACTCTTCTTATTATTGATAAACTAATGTTCAGACTCGGTGGGTTTTGTTTTTTTAAAACTCTTTCTTTCAAAAAAGCAAATAAATAAAGTAAAAAAAGAAAAAAATATTCATGAGGTAGAGACAAAAATATAACAGTGGTGGTAGATCTACACATAAGTTTCTATAAACTGTTTCAAAATATCTAAGAATAAGTTCATATGCAATTGCCATCTATATGCCTTGTGTTCAATAGTGATAAGAGTTCTAAGGTTCTCAGTCCATTGATTTACTGGAGGTCGGCTTTTATCTTTCCAGTGTTGTAAAAGGTAAAGGTAAAGGTTCCCTTGCTCAAAAGCCAGTCGAATCCGACTCTAGGGTTGTGGTGCTCATCTCCGTTTCAAAGCCGAAGAGCCAGCGCTGTCCGAAGATGTTTCCGTGGTCATGTGGCCGGCATGACTAAACACCAAGGCGCACGGAACGCTGTTACCTTCCCACC